GAGAATTTAGCAGCCATGCAGAAGGCAGCCAACCACTTCAGCGAGCAGATGGCCCAGAGAGTGAACTTCCCCACAGACACTCTGCAGGAGCTGCTGGACCTTCACACAGCCTGTGAGAGGGAAGCCGTTGCAATCTTCATGGAGCACTCCTTCAAGGATGACAGCCAGGTGTTCCAAAAGAAGCTTCAGGTAATAGGTCCTAGCATATATCTTCCTAATTCCTATTCTTCTAGATTGATTCCTACAAATTCCCTTTTACCCCATAGTTCATATGTATTTTATTTTTAAAAGTTTGGATTTATGTGAGTGACTGGGCTCTATAGACTACTATTCATCCTTCTTCTGAATGATTGGTTCTTTATTTCCATTATGACAAAGAAAGTAATATAGGCTTATGAACAGTTTACAGAAACACTCAAGTTATTATGTCAAAATTCTTCAGGTGAGTTACTAGCACAAGATGTATGGATGCTCTGCTCTGTTTACCAAGAGCTGAAAACAAGATTCAGATGTTGTACACCTGAAACTAATATAATATCATTAGGAGGGTCATTTGGCCTCCTTGCCGTATTCAAGGTAGCAAGGTGCATTGTATCCTTGTCTTGTTTCTAATATCTTTGACTACCTCTCTGCTACCAATAGGAGTAGACTGCTTTTAAAGCTCATGTGTTTAGATATGCCCACTTGAGTAATCTCCATTTCTTAAAGTTAACCAGTGTCACATAAAAAATCTAATCAGATGATCAGTATTTAGCATATGCATAGGCCTAGAGACTGTCATGTGTGGATGCCAGAAGAGAGAACTCTTGAGGACAACATAATTGTGCCTAATAAAAACACCTTCATGTTGTTTTGAGTTTGTCATTGTCCATACTACAAGTTACAAAACTCTCACTTCAATACAGAAGAAAATCAATAAAATTATAATATTTGAAGTGTAGCAAAAGAAAAAATATTTCCCTATATATCTGTACAATCAAGCCCTCATTAAAAGAATTTCTGAGGCCTTCAAAACTCTTTTTAGTAACCACTTACCTCATTAGTGGACAGTTGGTTTACTGTGTATATATTTTTGTCCATAGCAATCTAAGTTTGCAGAGGGAAGTCTACTTCCAGTCATATTGAACTTTTCATTGCTCATTGCCAATGGATAAACCACTGTTAATCTTATGACTGATAAAGGGATGTTATGACTTGATAATACGGGATTGCATATTTGACATTTGCTAAAAGAATTGAATTTAAAGGTTCCCATCAAAGAAAAAACAATGTTTATTACTATGTAAGGTGATGATAATAATTAGACATGGTGGTGACCGATTTGTACTGTATACAAATATTAAACCATTACATTGTACACCTGAAGAAAATATAATGTAATATCTCAACTTAAAAAATAAAGGAACCCTGTACTTCATGTCTACCAACACCATCATTTCACAAATTTTGAGCCTGAGCCCAAGAAAACTGAGGAACTTCCCACAGGTCACACAATGAATTGGTCTAAACTGTAACTAAAGTGAGCATCATGAGCACGGTCTATGGTTCCATGCTCCAGTCCAACTCGATGCCATCAAACTGCTTCTTCCAAGAGGATCACACTTGGCTCTTCCTTCTAACAGCCTCTTTCCCTTGTATTTCTCCACATTTCTGTGGCAGGGCATCATAAAGAAAAAGAAGAAAAATTTCTTGCTGAAGAATGAAGAGGAATCTCTCAAATATTGCCAGGCTCAGCTTACACAACTTTCAGAGCCGCTGATGGAAGGCATTTTGAGAGGAACTTTCTCTGTACCTGGAGGATACATTCTTTACTCAGAGGAAATGAACAAGGTTGAACAGTCCTATGAATTGGTGCCCAGGAAAGGAGTGAAGGTGAGGAATAAAATTAGGGGGAAGACTAGCCAATATGGTCAGAGTTCTTGTGGGTTCTTGTAAGTTACCTAAGAACATACAGCCAGCAAGTGGTATAGCTAGTGGGCAGGTCTGTGTACCTGGCACCCAGTCAAATCTCAGGAGGAAGTTTAGCTCAGCTTTTTGGAAGAGGAGGTAGAAGCTATAAGTTGAAGTATCAATAAGTAGTACCTGAGTAAAAAAAGGGTAGATGAGCATCCAGTCAGCAGAAAAAGAATGTGCAGAGATTGAACACAATTGAGGAGCAGTGTTTGTAGAGGCATCATTAGGAGGAGGCTGGGGTTGCCAAATAGGGTTTGTGTTTTGTTTTTTCCAACTACAGATGTTGGATTTTTTTATTGTAGCCCTTGAGGGAAGGGAACAATTGTTGGATCCTAAGAAAGATGATGAAGTTACAGGGCCAAATTTGTAGTTTTCTTGACCAATGACTTCCCCAGCAAGAAGAGTCTTTGCTCCTTGTTTCCTCAGGCAATGGAGGTCCTCCAGAACTTCAAGCAGTCACAGGCTGCAACAAAGGAATCCATCATGCAGGCTGACAAGACCCTCACTGCTGGGGAGAAGGCTTTAAAAGGTACAGGGGAGGGCTGGGATAATGGAGGGCAGGGAGGTTCTTGCAGTGACCTTCAAGAACAAGTCCTTCTTGAAACAAGGTGTTTCCTCAAAAGAATTAGAACCACCTGGCTAAATTCAAAAAGAACCAGGTGAGTTTTAATTGCTCCCTCAGGCATCCAGTGTCTTTATGTCATATTCTGAAACATGTTTTGCTGGTATTGTTAGTAAGAATATTCAGAGATTTCTCTCTGCCATTTTAAAACCATTTTAGTGTTACCTCTGAAGGGTACAGCTAGTTATAACTGTTATTTTCTTCTCTCTGTAAAACCATTGTGGGACAGCTGAACAAGCCAAAACAGAGGAATTGGAAAGAAAACAGGAGATGCTAACACAGACACTGAATGAAACACAGCAAAAAATGGAGGCTGTAGAGAGAAGCTACCAGGAAAACATTGCCCAGCTGAATGAGAAGATGAGAGAGCAAAAAAACAAACTGAAAGAGCAGGAAAAAATTGTGCAGCACATGCTGATGGTAGGTTGGGGTGGGATGTGGGCAAAGCCTGAAGGACAGTCACCTAGTTCCTCAGGTGAAGGGAAGACCAAAACGCTAAAGTCATAAACTGCAAAGTATATTTAAAGGCATATGATTCAATGAAATGTCAAATTAATGTGATCATTCTAAAGCCCCAAGTATTTAATACTCAGCACCTTTTGTGGTATTAGAATTAGGGGGTTCAAATACCATGGCCCAGACTCATGATCTACTGTTTGTGGTGATTACAGGGCCTTTTTTACTCAGGTGAATAGGACTTCAGTTCTTAGGGTTTTGGGGTACAACCATCAAGGGAGACATAAAGCCATCTGATCTCAAAGTAACAGAGTGTATGTGATATGAAATATGGGATAATGAAAGCCCTAAAATGTACTACATTGGTTTCCACATCAGGCTTCTCTATTCTACACAAGCAGAGGAAATTCATTTTTTGCCCCTACCTGGAGTTTGATAGGCCATATTCTCTGGAGAGTCAGCAGTTCCCATTATGCATAATGTGTGTGGTCACCTACTTCAGTGGAATCAAGAAATAGTTAGAACTAAACCTCCATCCTTCCCAAAGAACCTCCTTAGGACTGAAACACATTCCTGACATAGGTGTCAGGCCTGAGAAAGTTCCAACTCCTTCACACCCCCAGGGAGATCCTGCTAAGGGACTTTAAGAAGGTATAAAACAGATACTCCTGCTACCAGATCAAGAGGTTCAGAAATATTGCACAAAAAGCATCAAAGAGCTATATTTGAATTCTACAATGATTGTTATATGGATGATAAAATTAAATTTAATTGAATGCATATAGTACTGGGTTTTCCTTAAACCCATAATTGTCATTTCTTAATTGTAACTTTCTCTACATCACTAGGCAGAAGAGATGAAGAAGAAATACAAAGAGAAGAAGGAAGAGATGCAAAAAGTGATTGAAGGTGAGACAGCTGAAAACACTCCAGATATCAAACTAGTAAATTGTACTTCAAAATTAAGAACTTCGCTCTTTGTAAAAATCAGAATTTTCATTCTTTTAGTGTAAAGACAAGTCACAGATTAAAAGTAACTATTTGAAAATCACACATTGGATAAAGGTCTTATATCCAAGATATTTAAAGAACTCTTAAAACTTAAATATCACAGTAATTGGAAAAGCAAATATACCAAGTAAAAGGAAAAAAATGATATAATTTAAAGATACTTCATCAAAAATATACTTGGATGGCAATAAGCACAGTAAACAACATCATTAGTTATTAACAACATCATTAGTTAGTAACAATATCATTAATTATTAGAAAAGTGGAAATTCAAGTCACAATGAAATACCACTATGCATCTACTAGAATGCCTAGAATTAAATAGATGAAACATCTCAGGTGTTGGTGGGGATGTGGAGCAACTGGAACCTTTATACACTGCTGGTGGAAATGTAAAACGGTCAATCACTGGGGAAAAGTTTGTCAGTTTCTTAAAAAGTTAAACAAATACCTACCATGCAAGTTTAATCATTTTGCTTCTACATCTATCCCCAAGAAAAATGAAAATTTGTGCATATGAGAGCTTTATTGGTAATAGCCAATAACTGAAACAATGTCCATCCACAGGTGAATGATGAACAAATTTTAACATACCCATACAAGAGAAAACTACTGAACAATAAAAAGGAATAAACTATCAATACATATAAGAATGTTAGGTGAATCTGAAAATAAATATGTTGAGTGAAAGAAGGCAGAGAAAAATGTCTACATACTGTATGATTCCTTTTCTGTAAATTTCCAGAAAATGCAAGCTATTCTATAGTGACAGAAAGCTGGGCAGTGGTCTGTGATGAGGATGAGGGTTTATGTTCAGGAGGGAGGAGTTTCCTAAGGGCATGTGAAGATGGAGATGTTTCTGAGTGATGTGCATGCTCATTACTTAATTGTAGTGGTGGTTTAACAGGTGTATACATGTATGATAGGTAGGTCAAAACTTATGTGACAGTATATTGCATTATTTTTATACCTCAATAAAGCTTTTCCAAAAAATAAAACAAAAACACTCCGGGTAATGGGAAGCCTTATAATCCTATCTAATAATAGACAAATAGGGTAATTAACCATACCTCCGATACGCTTCCCATTGGCTAATCAGCATGATATGCAAATTAATCGCCAACAAGATGGCGGCTAATTTGCATACTGAAGGCGGGGCGGCAGCGCAGGAGGCTGTTGGAGGTCTGGAACCTGGATCCGTGACCCAGCGGGGCAGAGGGCAGTGCTTGAGGCTGTCCGTGGTCCCGGGACCCGGATTTGTGACCCTGCTGGGCGGGGTGCAGTGCTTGAGGCTGTCTGTGGTCCCAGAACACAGATCCGTGACCCTGCTGGGCGGGGTGGAACCGCGGGAGGCTGTCTGCGGTCCTGGGACATGGATCCGTGACCCTGCCAGGCAGGGGGCAGTGCTTGAGGCTGTCCGCAGTCTAGGACCCGCATCCATGACCCTGCAGGGTGCGGGGCAGTGCTTGAGGCTGTCCGTGGTCCCGGGACCTGATCTATGACCCAGCGGGGCGGGGCAGCAGCTCGCACAGGGGCGGATCAGCCGGGGTTGGGCAGGGCAGGACGCCTGGCTTCTGCCCAGCCCCAGTCACTCTGTGCAGGTGAGCAGCGCTGAGAGCCTCTGGACAGGGAAGGCAGGCCGGCAGAGGGCGGCCTGTTCTCCCCACGTGGCTGTGGTGAAAGCTGTGAGCACACCAAGCGGAGCCTGCAGGCTGAGCTGAAGTAGTGCCTGCAGGCCTTCAGTGCCCAGGAGTGGCTGCACAAGATCCGCCTCCTGGCCCAGAAGGTGCAGGATCGCAGGGACAGCCACAGTGGCGGGGGCAAGACTGATGTCCTCCTGGCCCCACAACGGGGGGCGGGGGGGGGAGGGTTGTGGATCTGCAAAGCCAGAGGCCTCTGGTTTGCACATCCTCTCCTCCCCCTGGCCTGCGAACATCCCCCAGCACACTGTCACCCTCCAGCACCTGCAACAGTCACAGACCAAGGCGTGCACAAGTTCCCCCCGCCTCTCCACCGCACTTCCATAAACTCCAGCATGCCTAACACCCCCACAGGATGTGCACAGGCCCCCTCTGATGTGCTCACATCCTTTGGAGAGTGTCTGGGTGTTCTGGGTGCTGAGGGTGGGCGCCTGTGAGATGACAGTGAGAGGGCGGAGTGGTGACACTCTGTTCCCACAGGAGGCCAGTGCAGCGAAAAGATCACCTCTAGGGGGTTAATGCAGGTGCTGAGGCGGGAGCAGGTACAGACAGACTCACCTGGTGGGTGCAGGCGGCCCTTGCTCAGGTGCCTTCAGTCAGTGTTCAAGATCAAGAACCCAGAGGCAGAGAGGAATTCTGTCCTCTCAGTGAAACAGTGGGATAGTCGGGGCGACTGTAGAGGAGGAATGTGCACTTTGGGTGCCAGCACCCATGAGCGAAGGCTGCCCTGATGAGCCTTGCTCGCATGGGGCCTAGCGCACTCCTGCAGGGCAGCAGGTGACAAGACTTGCTTTTCCAAATTAATGAGAGAAAACGTTGATTCTCCCGCTGCCCACGAAGGTGGAAAGTGAAGTGGGGAGACATGTGGAGAGTGAGCGAGGTTGCCAAATCTGCTGTTGGTTTCTTTCACCACTGACTAGAGATATACAGGGTGTCTCCCCAAAATGTATACACACTTTGAATACCTACTAATTCCAATGGTTTTAAGCACGAGAAGAAAGAAACAACAATGGAGCTGTTATCTGTTAAAAGTGTGGGCACAAACAGGTAGTTGGACATTCCCTGAGGGGTCTCAGATTGGAGAGGGTGGTGCAGGCCAGACTGAGGGGCCCCTTCCCCCCCCCCACCCCAGTGCATGAATTTTGTGCACTGGACTACTAGTTGTTAATGTTAGCCATATCGGTGCACCTGAAATAAAAGAATAACAAGGATAGTTCATAGTTCTAGGGGATTTTTTTTTACTGTTATTTACACTTAAAATTACTCAGTTTTGCTTAGTTCAAAAAATCTCACAAGAAGTTTTCTCTATGAAATAAGAATAAAACAAAAAAAAGAGATGGGTTGAAAGGCAAACGAAGACTATAACAATTTAATCCTCATGTTTCTCTGCTTATTTTTCTTCCTCAGAATCTATAAGAAATATGTTGGAGGGAATACAAAAGAAAAATGAGCAGATGTTGGAAGAGGAAAAAAAGATTCATGAGGTAAATATGAAGCAATTGATTGAGAAGATGGAGATGGAGAAGTTCCAGTTCATGGCAGAGCAAGAGATGATTCTAAATCTTAAACTTTAGGCATTCAACTCTGTCATCGCCATTTTATTTTCCACTGCACTTAATAAAAAATGTGCTTAGAAGTTAGATCATTATGTAAGATTAAGAATTTTTCTAGCCTAAACACTAGTAGACACTTCATTCTCATACTGCTTCTACATGTGACCATCTCTGGTTACTAAAATGTATTATTTGCAGGATAAAATCTCATGGAAACCTTTATTATTAAATCACTAATAAATAGTAGCTATTCACTGCCACGCACTGTGCAATGGCTTTACAATCAATCTGTTATCAAATCCTTATGTTAAGTGGTAGGTACTATGATATTCTCATTTTCAAATGAGGAAATTGTAATTTCATGAGGGATAAGTAATGTTTCTGAGTCCTGCCTTGTGGAAGAATAGCTGGTCTGTCTATCCTACTCAGCGGAGTCAAGTTGATTCTCTTTCTGCCAGACCTGGTATAATTTTATCTCTGCAGGAACCCTAATGAATAGGAGGAAGACTCTGTGACCATATACACTATTAGTCATGTAATTACATACCCAGGCTGCCTGTATCATCCTGTTCCCAGGCTCTACTCCAAGTCAGTGTTGTGTCCAGATATCCACCCAGAAATACAGTGTGGACTGGCACAGGTCGTGGTTTCCTCAACTTATTACTGTTACCTTGCCTCCAAGTTTTGGAGAGTTGTACTAAGTTCCCTGATCAAACATCTGCCATGATTCTGAATCACATAGTAGCCTTCCCAATGGAATTCACTCATCTTCCTCACCTTCTTAGATAGATATTTGAGACGCCATTCTACCTAGAGTAGAGTTGAAGGGAAAAAAAATGATATAATTTCCAGGGAGAGTGTGGTGCATGTGGGTGAAGAGGACCAAGAATATGATTCTGGGTCACTCAAAGTTTAGAAACTACAAGAGAACAACATTTTCATAACTCAATAGAACTAAGAAATATGAATGAAAAGCAGGATACTCTGGAGAGAGTGAAATATTAAAAATTGAGAAGTTCACTTAGTTCACAAATAAGTTTCAAAAACTCATGAAGGATTAACATAGGTATTGAAAAGGAAAATAATTTGGCAAATGTGGGAAATGTTTTACATTGTGTGATTTCAGTCTTCATTTTTCTCTCAGGAAAATTTACAGTGTCTCGAGGAGAAATACAAGAAAATGATCAAGAAACTTCAAGATGAATTAAAGGTTTTGGAGGAGAAAATGAAAGAAACAAAATGTACCATACTCTAAAAATTCTAGGAACAGAACTTCTTAATCAGCTCCCTCCCTCCACAGGGAACAACTTGATTGAGCAACTTCTGAATGTCACATAGTTGTCACTAAACTAAAATGAGAATAATGATGTTTGAGATATTGTTCAACCAAAAGAATTGCAAAGATGAAATAAACTACAAAGACATTTTTTTCCCTACAGAGTGATTCAATTCCTGCTGAATTATAGTAATAATTATTAATATGATCCTTAAATGGATTTTTTATTACTGAGTCTAGAGACACATTAAATTGTATAATGAGATGCATTTTACAATGAAATATCAGGTGGCTTCTGTTCAGGATAGACTTGTTCTCCCTCACATACCTCACTCTCCTAGACATCCTAAGCCCTATGCTATTGCTCAAGGGTTTGCTTTGGTTTTGGGATAGGGTTGGAGTGTTGTGAATTTAAGGCAAAGCTGATGGAAGTGAACAAAGCCGTGGGACACTCTGATCATCATTCCTGCCAAGCAGTCTATGGCTTCTGGGCTGGCTACAAATCAAGGAGACCTGGGACAATTGCAGCCAAGTGTAGAGAGAGTAGAGTTCTTGATTGGGTGGTGGCTAATGGTCAGTGGGCACAGATGGGACTCTGGGATACTGGTAGAAGTACTTGTCTCTGTGAAAAATGGATTTATGTATGAATGCTTCACCCTCTCTGTCTACAAAATTTTTCTGGGTAATTACTGTCCATCCACAGGCTACCCACCTCTCTGTATTCTTCTCTCTTTCCTTAGTCTGTTTCTTCCCACAATTCAAAAAGTAAATTCTATAGTCATAGAAAGAGGAGTTTGAACTCAAACTTGAAATAAATTGATTTTCAATTCCTCTGAGAACCATACAATAATCCTGCAAAACTTAAACTAGGCTCTATTGTTATCTCTGCCTTTCTGATTTTGTGTAGGAACAATATTTTGAGAGGGGGAAAAAGAATATTGACCTTCAACTCACACCATATGCAAACTAAATTTGAGATGAATCATAGTCTTAAATGTTAAAGTGAATATTTAAAAGAAAGCTTCTGGAAAAAACAATAGAAGAAATTTTTATAATCTTAGTGTGAAAGTGAACTCTTGTGCACTGATGATGAGACTGAAATTGATGTCACCACCATGAAAAGCATTAGGGAGATTATTACCATTAAAAATTAAAAATAAAACTACCATATGATTCAGCAATTCTACTTCTGGGTATTTAGCCAGAAAAAAAAGAAAACACTAACTCAGAAAGATATATGTACTCCTATATTCTTGCAGCACTATTTATAATGCTATATAATAAAGAGGTAATATGCAAATTGACCATCACTCCAACACACAAGATGGCTGCCCCCAAGTGGTCAAAGATGGCTGCCACAAGATGGCCAGCAGGAAGGCCAGTTGGGTGCGACTGGGCTGGCAGAGGAGGACAGCTGGGGGTGATTGGGCCAGCAGGAGAGCAGTTAAGTGTTGATCAGGCTGGCAGGCCGAAGCGGTTAGGAGTAATGAGGCAGGCAGGCAGGCGAGCAGTTGGGACCCAGAAGTTCTGGATTGTGAGATTGTGCCCCTGTGGTATTGGGCCTAAATGGGCAGTTGGACATCCCCCGAGGGGTCCCAGATTGGAGAGGGTTCAGGCTGGGCTATGGGACACTCCTCCCCTGTGCATGAATTTCATGCACCGGACCTCTAGTAAGCAGTATATAAAAACACTCTAAGGGTTTATCAACAACTGAATAAAGAAAAATGTGACATATATATAATACTAAGCCATAACAAAAAATGATACTGTGACATTTGCAACACTATGGATGGACCTTGAGAGCATATGCTAAGTGAAATAAATCAGAACAGAGAAAGTTGAATACCATATGATCTCATATTGTGGACTCAAGAAAAGAAAAAAGAAAGCAAAGGAAAGCAAGTCCATTTATAAACAGAATAGATTGGGGGATGCAAGAGGCACCGGATGAGGGTAGCAGAAATCAGTAAAGGAAATGAAAAGGTACAGTTTTACAGGTACAAAATAAATAAGTCACTAGGATGCAATATACTGCATTGCACCTATAGTCAATTATACTGTATTGCATATTTTCAAGTTGCTAAGATAGCAAATCTTAAAAGTTCTGATCACAAGAAAAATATTCTGTAGCTATGTATGGTGATGAATGTTAACTAGACTTACTATAGTGATCATTTTGCAATATATACAAATATCAAATCACTATGTTGTACATCTAAAACTAATATGTTTACTAATATGTAATTAAAATTAATTACAACAATAAAAAGAAATTAGAATATTTCACTCATTAAAATGTAACAGTAATACTGATTCAGATTTGGGGTCGGTTGGTGAGCAGAGTGCAAGGGTGAGTTCTTTCCCGGATTCTTGTCCAGGTGGATTTGATGAATGAAGCTACGGGCAAAAGTGGTAGGTGAGAAGTACAGAAACTTTATTGCAAACAGATACTATCTCTAAAGTTCCTAATTCTAAGTTTCTATTCCTCCAACTGTCTCTCCTGGCTAAGATATGAGAGACAGAGAGGTCCCCTAAAGAGGGTGGCCACTGCCCTCTTTGTATTGAGTTATTATATATTCTAAAGACCCCTTCTCTTAAGCTAGAATCCCAGGGCTTTCCTCACTGGTGACTCTGCTACACAGTACTAGTTGCAAAGCTCAAAGCCCACCTGGTGGCCCCCCCTTTCTTTTCCTTTATTTTGCAACATTCCTCTAGGCTCTGTGAAAATGTTTACTCCATCCCCCCCCCCCATATTCTGCCACTTCTCTTTATCCTCTGTGAATGTGTTTCTTTCCCTCCCTCCTCTTCCCCTTGCAGCCCCCCCCCCCCCCGCCATTCTGTGACATTTCTCTGTCCTTCACATATCCATCTTGTCTGTTCAGGTTGGAGATGCTTTTGATCTACCTAATGGTTGCTTTAATAACTAGTAACCTTATCTTGCCAAGCCTTGAGACTGAAATGCTGGCTTCTCTGCTCAAAGAGTAAAACAGCTTCTTTTTTTTCCTGGCCAGAGATGTTTTATAAGCCCTTTGGCTCTCCCAGCTGCTCAGGCCAGGGCTGCTTTTGATCTAACTATGGCTGCTTAATTGTTCAGGCCAAGATGCCTCTATTCTCTCTGGACCACCTCCCTTCCTGTCTAGCAAATTGAGCTAGCTAGCTACCCTTATGAAAAGCAAAAAGCAAGACATCAGCTAAGATAAAATAATTACAATGCAAATATCAATCAAAGATTATATAAAAAACTCCCTTGCCTAGCTGGTGTGGCTCAGAGGTGGAGCATCAATCTATGAACCAGGAGGTCGTAAGTTGTTCCCAGTCAGGGCACATGAAATTGAACGCTTTTATGAAAGTATTCAAGAAGAAATTGACCACACATCAAATCAAGACATGCTGATAACAATCAGTGACTAAAAAGCACAAGTAGGAAATAAAACAGAATCAAATGCCATGGGGAAATTTGGACTGGGGGTCAGACACAAAGCAGGAAAACAGCTCATGAAGTTCTGTGAGACAAACAACTTGTCCATCACAAACATGTGCTTCACATAACCAAACAGACAACTACCTACACAGACATCAGCAGATGGCTAATATAGAAGGAAATAGACTATGTAATTGGAAGCAGAAGATGTATTTCCCTAAAAAATTACTCTTCAAGGTAAATTTTAAAAGAAATACACAGTTGATTATTGGAGCATTCTGTCTGTAACTAAATCTCAAGTAGTTCATACAGAGAAAGAAAGTATGTGGTAAATAACATTAAGGGAATTTTGTATTTTTGGCCAAGTATGTGAGGTTTTGATATCAATTCTTCCTTGAGGGTTTGGTAAGAATCACCAGTGAAGCCATTTGGGCCTGAACTTTTCTTGGTGGTAGTTTTCAACCTCTTTACTTGTTACAAGTCCATTCAGATGAGTTATTTCTTCTTGAGGCAGTTTCAGTAGTTTCTGTCTTTCTAGGAATTAGTCCATTTTTAATCTAATTTGTTACGATACAATTGTTCATAGTATTAACTTACAATCTTTTTTTATTTTTTATTTCTGTCAATAGTAATGTCTTCTTTTTCATTCCTGATTTTAGTCATTTGAGTCTACTTTCTTTTCTTCTTGGCTAGTTTAGATAAAAGTTTGTCAAGATTAATGAACTTTTCAAAGAACCAGCTTTTGTTGTCAGTGATTTTTTTCTGTATTTCCCCATTATCTATTTCATTAAAATCATTTACATAAATCTCTATTTTTCCTTCTGCTTGCTTTGGGTTTAGTTGGCTCTTATTTTACAATGTCCAAAGGTGAAAGGATATTAATTGAAATCTGTTCTTTTCTTAGTGGTGCTCCAGGGCATGCATATATATATTTCTCAGAAAGTACTTCAATCTGTTTTCTGTATCTATGAGTGTTTCTATTTTATTTGTTAGTTTAATTTGTTCATTAGATTCCACATATAGTATAAGTAAAATCATAGGCTATTTGTCTTTCTCTGACTGGCTTACTTCACTTAGCATAATACTCTCCAGGACCTCAGAGGGGAAGGGGATTGACAGATTGGGTAAAAAAGATGAAGAGATTAAGCAAAGAAGAAAAACCCCTCACATATGTAGACAACAGTATGGTGATTACTAGAGGCAAAAGGGGGTGGGAAATAGAAGAGAAAAAGGGGGGATCAATGGTGACAGAAGGAGACTTGACTTTGGATGGTAAACATACAAAATACATGTGTTGAGAAACCAAGATGGCGGCATAGGTAAACACCGGAGATTGCTGCCTCGCACAACCACTTCAAAAATACAACTAAAAGACATAACGGACATCATCCAGAACCACAGGAAGGCTGGCTGAGTGGAATTTCTACAACTAGAAGGAAAGAGAAAAGCATACCGAGACTCAGAGGAGGTGCGGTGCTGAAGTAAATACAAAGGTGCGGAGGTGCATGCGGAGAGGGCTGGCGGCTGAGGACACAATTGTCTTT